AATACTTAGTTTGACAAGAAAATAGTCTAAATAAGTAAAATTCTATTTGTATAATACATTGAGCTTTACTTTGCTCTTCAAATTGTTGATCATATTTATTATATAAAGTTTGACTCAATTTTGCATGCCATCCAAGCTCACTATATAGAAATAAAAATATATAATAGAGTAGCAAATATGCTAAATGGCCTTCATATATACCTTCAAATGAATCTCTATATAATCAAAGTACTATATCATGCATTGCTTCTGAAGCTATACTATCTCTAGGTAAAATAACAGCTATTTTATTTGATACAGGAAGATTATAATAATATTAATTGGTTGCAGCATTGAAATGAAAATAAACAGCAAAATCAGTTTCTGTAGCTCCTTCTCTATAGGCTTGAGAAAGAATCTTATAAGCTTGTTGATACACAAGATAAAATTCATAATTATCACACAGAATTTCTTGTAATCTCCATATTGTATATATATTTAAGTTTGTATTTCGTCTTATTCTTAACTGATATACTATTTTTGTATCATATAAATAAAGTTGTATATAATTTGCAGTTGTGTCAGTTTCAAGAAGAAGTGAACCTGAACAGTAATGCAGCAATCCATGAATTCGAAAACTATATGATACATATCTATTAAGAATAGTGTGATCAATATTAATATCTAATGAAGTAAATACAAGTGCTGATATATATTTGTTCAAAATTCTTTGCTCTACATATCTTGATCTTCAAATAACTGCTGCAAAAAAAGTGGTGGATCACAAAGAAGAGAAATATCAACCTTTTCATGTCTACAGCAAATACCAAACTTAAGATTAGTTTTTGAAGAATTTGTTATATGCTTATCTAACCAATAGAGTATATCACAATAAATATATACTATATTCATAGATCTGAAATTGTGTCGTATATTATTCGATTGCAGTTATACAAATCTTTCACTATATAGTGTATGCTCATGTTTTCTTCTAGATTGTTATGCAATAGATCTCTGATTTACAGAAGTTTCATTAATTTCATTATTTAATGAAATATATGCTCTTTTTGCTTGCTTATATTCTCTTCTTAATTGTTGACTAATAAATCTTTGGTTTAAGGTATTATTTTCTTCTCTTTTATATTTTCATCTTTCTTATTAAGCAGTAGTTCTTCGATTTGGTTTATTTGTTAAGTTTTGTATTTCTTGTTCATGTGCACATCATTTTTGTTAAGCTATTGATTGTTGATTCATTTTAGTTAACAAAATAAAAGTTAGTATATATAAAAAATAGTAATTTTAGTAATCACACTTGTTTTTAAGAAAAGAGAAAAGAATTTTTTTTCAAACACATTTGGTAGCCAATAAAATTGATAAATTTAGTATAACATAACTCAAAAAAAACATTTAATATTTTCTGCCTCTTATTCATGCCTCAACCAAATTGCTACAAAAAAATCACAGACTGTTTCTAAAAATTGAAATTAATGAGTTTTAAGTAGCATTGATTGGTCACAAACTCTAGATTTTCAAATATTAGTAAAAAATTTTAACCAATGTTTGAATATTCATTGAGTTTTTAAAAAATATATAAAAGAATTTAGTATAATATATAATTTATTAATTGTACCATTATTTCTATATTACCTAATTACAATTTACATAACTTATAATTGTGATATTACAAAAACAGCTTGCACTATTATCACTATATACAATTTATATAACTTATAATTTGCATATTATAAAAGCAATCTGTATTATTACTATTATATTATTTAATTGGTGATTTGCCAGTCAACCAGAGAAGATCTGCAAATTTTTATAAATAAATTTTATTATTGAGCCAAATATGAAGCACACTAATCTAAAACTTTTTTTCTTACTAAGTAAATCACTCTTGGGCTTATAACAAAAGTTGTAAAGCTCATCAAGACGCATATAATAGTGGTAAAAACGTAAAATTTCTTTAAAAAAATCAATTTTTTTTAAAGAAATTTTATATGTCAGTGAAAGTTTTTTAAAGATTTCTCAAGAACTACCA